TGCACCACCATCTTTGCCAAAGTAAGGTGCCTCTTGCCTGCCTGACAGTAGTGGAAGGGCTCAACTCTGTGCTGCCACCACTGGGAGCCCTGCACCAGCCATGGCACCATGGCCACCAGGGTGAGATGTTGCGGTGGTGCAGAGTTGTACCCCCCTGCTGCTGCCATGTGGGGACAGGGTGCCTCACCTTGGTGGTCATGGCAGCACAGTGCTCCCTGGGGCAGTGCTGGCAGCGAGCCTCCCCACCTTGCTCCACCCTCCCATGTCAGGTCCTACCTGCTGGGTCATGGAGGCAGCTCCTGCCCAGTGTTGGTCCATCCAAGCTGCAGTTACATGCCTCACTGTAGGTGCAGAAATCTGGGTGGGCACATGCCCTTCCCACACCCTACCATGTGTCACATATGTCCCCTCCTGCCAATCTACATGGTGCCTATGTGCCCCATAGACTTAACAGCAGGGAGCTGCAGGAGCTGCTCTCCCATGCTGCCTGGCTGCACTGCCAACCAAATGCTTGCATACTCACACATGTGCACATAGCCCCCTACCTCAGATTGTCCACCTCTCCTCACTCCTGCAGCCCCTTGAAGGCTGGCACTCTGCCACCCTACAGGGAGAAACCACGATTTCCCCAGGTTTTTCTCCTTTAAAGAGAAAAATCCACGCTTTTCCATGGGAAATGGAAAATCCAGATCCCCGCTCATATTCCAATTCATTTGTAACTATTTTGCTATTGATATTGCCACATTTCTTGCAGCTTGCTTTTATATCAAGCTGTGGGCTCTTTAAAATTTCTCCTAGTTGTTCTAATTTCCACTTTTTTCCACTTCGTTTTATCTGATGTAGTTTGTTCCTTTCTGCTTGTTACAGTGGTTGAATTTTCACTGATATTTGTTTGACTTGGACATTGTGCCTGGTAGTTGTAAAAGAGAGCTGCCCATGCAAATTTAAGAATAGACTAGATCAGGGGCATCAAGCTCAAATCAGTTGGCTGACGATATTCCTTGTTAATGCTACCATCGCTTGCCACTGGTTGCTCATTTTTAATTTCCATCCCAGCAGTGATCAAAAATGATAAATTAAGTGGCAAGAAACAGGTGGGATAAGCAGTGATGGTTAACTCCCTGAGTGCTGGCTGACTTGAGTTCCTTAGAACTCGGTGCTTGGGAACTGGTTTTTCTCTTGCAGAGTTTTCAAATGTATCCTTCCACAGTAGCCAGAAGCCAATATCTTGCCTCCATCAGTCATATCTGACCCTTGGGCTCTATGCTTGACATGCCTGGGTTAGACAAGCACTTGTACAGGATGATTTTAACTAGGAATTACTCTACCTTGAGCAGGGGATTTGGCCTAGGTGACCTTATGAGGCCCCATTTCTGTAATTCTGTGATAACCTTCTCAATCTTGCCATTTAACTATAATTTTTTTTTCTTGCCTTCCTGCTTCCTGCGGTCTGAGAAACAATGGGACAGGGAATTTGGTGGCATGGTAAGTTAGCGAACTAGATTTTCTCCTTTTGGATGTGAGTTCATTTTAATTGAAGGTCTCACATAATGGAGCATGGTGGCTCCCATCCAAGTACAACACTTCATATCGTACAGGCTGAGTATTGGATTTTTCAGGTGTGAATTGAAACAGGCAGTTTTCTGGGCATGCTTGTCTAGCATGTCACAAAAAAAATCTGTGGCTCTTGCTAGTACTTAGTCACTTGTAAGAGTTTAACTTATCCCAAATTTTAAATAAATGCCATGTAAGAGTCAGCATGTGCAGGAGACTGAGGGGATCTAGTTGCTATTCCTACCTTTCCCTATGACCTGCTGGGCAAGCTATTGCACCTTACATTGCATCTTTGTCTTTGTCTATTGGAATGAAATTTGTTTGGATCAGGCTACATGTCTCCTGTGATTGTACAATGTCTAGTCCAATGAGCCATGATCGTGGGTGAAGCCAGTACAGCAATGCCCTGGGCTGTATTTATGCATAAGACTTCAGTAGCAGAGAAACAATAAGTTAGGGGGAAAAAGGAGTATTAGGCTGACTTTACCTGTTGCTTTGCTTATTTTGGATTGAGAATATATCATGGGAAATAGTAATATTATAAGAAAGTATATTTTTGCCATTTAGTGTCACTGTTTTATGAAACAGTAATTTTTGATGAATGTATAAGTCACTTAGCCATATGTGTTAAATGGTCTGAAAAGCCAATCGATTGATACTATATGCCTATAGGGATATTAAATGTCTATTCAGTGGCTAGAATTCATGGCTAGAATTCCTTGCCTGTCATATTAGTAGTGCCTCCTGTACTTTGCATTACCTTGCATAAGCCTGGCTCTTTTGGGTTTTTCTCTGTTTGTCCATGTTGGTTAAGTAATGATTTGAACAGCTCTTAATACAGTTTATTAAATTTACTTTTAAAGTTTTTTTTTTTTAATTCAACCCTCAGGTTATTATTGTTACAGATTGCTGCAGAGGGATTAAGAAAAGTTCTATTTCATGACTATATAGCAATATTTCACTATAGCTTACTCAGTTGAAGATAAAATGTTTATATTTTATTCTAGTGTATTCCTTTTTGGCCTGAGAATGATGCAAATAAGCTGCTTGTTAGAGTTGAAAACTCTGACATTCCACCAAAGAAGATACATTTTAATAAGCAAGAGAACTGTACATTGATGCATTTAGACAACGAGGTAAGTAATTTCATTCAGTAATTAGAGTAAACAACAACCACCTTTATTCCACCTCTACTGGCCAAAACTGTTCTCCCTTCCACAGAGTCAGGTGGTTTAAAAATAATATACAGAATCTTAACAGGTTTCTGTTTTATCTGCAGCTTCACCAAATTCACTTTTGGTAAATATGAACTTAAGCGATTTTGACTATTGCCTTTACCTTATTCCAGTCCCACTTTCACTAGTTTCACACTGACGTAATTATGGTTACTTGTGCCCAAAAGCTTTCAAAGAACTTTGTTCCAACTACTCATTTGATATAATACAAGATATCACATCTACCCAAAGAACCTTCCCTGCCTGAAGTAACTATTAGCATGTTACTCCTGTCTTTTTCCTGCCATACCCAAGACAAGATTTTATTTCCACCACCTCATTCAACATGAAGGAAAAAAAAATTCCTCATCTTGTATTTAAGTATTGGCTCTGGTCAGACAGCTGCTGCTGCCTGAGAACTAGCCCTGACCCAAGCTTGCGTCCAAAGCTACTACCGCTGCTACCTGGTGTCAGCAACTGTGAAGTAAGCAGCAGTTACCCTGGGTCCAGTAACAGTAGCACTCACTGGGTCCAGTGAGTCTGGGGGCGGGCAGCAGTGCAGTCGGGGATGTGGGGGGTGGGAAGAGGCAGTGTCAATCTATGTGCCCTCCCGCTGCTCACCCTATTATCGCAGCTTGACCTTTGCAGCATTGTGGGCGGGATGAATTTAAGACAATCCTCCAATAATTAGAATTTATATGTAGAAAATGATAACATTTATAATTTTCCATGTATAGAATCTAATTATTGGGGCATCATCTTAAGTGTGAGGTCTTGGATTTGGGTAAATGGTATTTAAGTGAAATCCTATCATAGGTAAAACATTCTCAGAATCCTGTAGAATAACTTAATGAGTCTTACTTATTTGTTTACTGCATCCACATGGGACTCAGTTCTCTTCAGGATTGTTAGCTATATTATGTACAGCTAATGCTTATTTATGAGTTTAATTTTTCCTATTGAATATTTATGTAACAATAGAATAAAGTTAATACTTTTTCACATACAACTAGCGTTTTTGAAACTCAGAATTCAGTAACTTTAAGAAAATATCAGTATAGAGAAGTCTGAAAATAAACTTCAGTATGTTGCTAAATTTGTTTTTCATAATAAAAGCGACATGTTTAGGGACAACCTGTAATGTATTTCAATATGGCACTGCCTCACTAAAATAAAAGGTTAAAACTTCCATTTTGTTGTATTACAACAGGAGATGTCAACCCACAACTTGCAGGTCTGATTCGATTGAGGGTAGGGCTTGACCTGTGCCACGCTGCAGCTGGGCCATGTGGGGAAGTGGGAGCCTTGTCCGGGTCCTCGTTCTGGTTGTCTTCTGACCTGAGCTGGGTCGCTCTAGCCCACCACCAGAAAATGTTGCAGACCCCTGTACTAGAATATTGGTCTTAACTATTTTCTCAATTTTGTCTAGTTTCCTTGTGTGTGTAGTATTGCGCTATAATCAGAATACAGTAGTACGGTTGTGATGACTGAACTTCATAAAGAGCAAATATTGCTGACAGGTTGCATAGTCTGTCTTATGAAAGGAAACAGATTAATTGGCTCTGTCTCCCAAGTAAATGGACTGTTATAGGGCAGGATCAGTAATCTTTTCAGGTTGTGGGCAAGATGGATCCTGTTTGGGTCAGAGCAAGGCAGCACACAGCAGGGAGGCACTAGAACACAGCTGCCACCGCCACTTTTGCCTGCAGCTACACACAAAAAGCACCTGCCGTCACTGCTTTTCCCCTTCAGCAACATGGAGAAGTGTCCACAGAAGGCACTTTTTTCCCATCAGTGACAGGGTAGAAGGGCTTCAGCAATACAGTAGTTACTTTCCTCTGCCACTGTAGAGATACTGTTGCCTGTGGGCACTCTCCACGTGCCACCCAAGCAGAAAAGCAGGGGTGGCAGGTATGTTACCTTTGTGGCCGCCCAGAAAAGCGGTGGTAGCAGCTGCGTCAGTGTCCATGTGCCAGCCCATCTGTCCCCCTAACTGGGTCAATCTGGCTGCTGAAGCACTGTCAGCAGGGTAGATCAGGGCCCTTGAGCTATTGGTTGCTGACCTCTATTATAGAGTATTGGTCTCCATCTTTGGGGGAGTTCCTTAAGCAATTTCTCAACTATATTCCTTATATATGAATATATGATTATTTTCATTATATAAATATATTTCAAGGATGTCCTGGATTCTAAGCAACTCAGATGAGAATCTTTTACCAACAAATACGTGTTTCTGAGTGAAATAACTGCAATATGCGAAAAGCATGCCAAAACATATGCATGGTAGTGATTTACATGGCAAAAAAATATTTATGCAGAGCTGGTTAGTATAGTAAATGGCATTTTATATGTTGATTTCATAGCACAGCTATATACTCCTTTAATTTCATATTTGATAGCTTGGAGGCCTCATAGTGGATGTAAACATGACTGAACATTCTACAGTGATTATTTTCTCGGACTACCATGATGGTGCAGCTCCCTTCCTGTTGATTAACCATACCAAAAATGAAATTATTGAATATGGCCAGAGGTATGTAAATAGTGTTTTAGTACAACTCTAATGCAAATTGGTACTTTTTATATACAGGTTCTTCATAAAGTCCTTGTGCACTTTTAAACTTTAATAACTTAGGTTGTAGGTATGATGGAAACAATCTGTAACTAGCATTTAAAAGCAAATGTATTAAAGTTTTAGGACAACGAGAGTACACAATGCTAGGCTTTAACATAACCACCATTTTCTTCTAACGACCGATGTGGACTTAAATTCTGCTAGCCTTAGGACAGTTTACCTTCTCATCTACAGTAGCTGTTTTTCGTTTGTCAAAGGATCTAAAATAAAAATAAATTCATTATTAATTATAAAGTCTAGCATCATGTACTCTAGTTGGCCTAAAACTTTAATAAATTTGCTTTTAAATGCTGTTTACAGATTGTTTCTATCATACCTACAACCTAAGTTTTTAAGGACTTTATGAGGACCCTGTAATATTACAAATGTACATGCGTTTTCTGTGTTTGCTGCTGTGTCTTTCAAGAAGCTGTGAAAAATGACATTAAGAATTATTTGACATAAGGTCCATATGTTGGAGATATACCCCCGGGTATACAGCATTACAATATTTCCATACAATGTTCTATTTTTCTGTAACAAAAAAATCTTAGCAGCCCCAAAATTCTAGGGAACTTGCAGAAATAAAGACTTGGGATCAGATTCCTCACTTCACAAGGTTACATTCAGCAAAGTAGATAAGGGGGAGAGCTCGTCATGGCTGCTGCTGTATTCATTAATGCTACACTAATATGCATGTTACCTGTCTGCACTAAAGTTTCAAGAGGATTTAGTAATCATCTCTATTAACTCTAGGTCTAGTAAGAAGCTACTAAGTAGGCTAGTTTCCACTACTTTTGAACCACCTGAGTGTTTAACCTAGGTGGAAAATCTGTTTCCAAAGAGTGGGCGATCTGTATTTGGCGGTAAATATAAAGGACTTTTATTCCATTTATTGTAAAGATTGAATTGTTAATGAAACAGAGTTATGGTGTGCCTGAGACATGGGGCTGCAAGGAAAAAAAAAAGTATGATTCTATGAATAAGATAGTTATCTGAAAACAGTGGAGTCTGTCCTTGCTTTTACTACAGACTTGCTGAACAATTGTCAGATGGGGCTGCTCATTAACAGTCCTTGTTTTTGTGGATGTGCACTTTTGATCCACCTAGGGCAGTGGTCTCCAACCTTTTTATGGTGAACATCACTTTTTATAAGTAAAGGGCACCCCAGGATGTACCACCCCACCTCCTGAACAAGCCGCCCGTGCTCTGACCCACTCACCCAGCTCGGCCTGGGCAGCAGGGGGCGTGGCTCAGCCCAACCATGTGTGTCCTGCCACTCCAGATCGTGGAACCTCTTACAGACTGAGATCGACTGTCAAAGGCTCCATGATAAGCCTGTCAGTGATCCACTGGTTGGTGACCACTGACCTAGGGTCTGAGTTTCATAAGGTCCAAGCACTCACGATACCAACTGAAGTCAATGGGAACTACAGATATTCAGCATTTCTGAAAAATTTGGCTCCTTCATGTGTTGTTTTGAGGCACCCAAAATTAATGGCATGTTTGAAGAATATAGTTTGACTGTTTAGACACCTGCTAGTCAAGGTGGAGGATTGAACTGAACAATTGCAGATATCCTTTGCCATAAAGACAACATTAATTCCACTGTTTTATTTGTTTACAAGGATGCTGTTTAATATGGGTTTGTCGTTTTACCTTAAATAATTTATAGCTAGTGAAATGACTTTAGATAGACCTAGCTTTGTTCTGAAACGGCAAACCAGACATAGCCATAGGCATGCCAGGTTCTGGCAATATTAGAATGTATTGCTCCGAATTTTAGCTCTATCGGCAGAATGTTCTTCCACTGTTACAATTTTTGGAACTATCCACAATATTCAGTTGCAAAATTATGTAAACCTTCATATCTTTGCTAGTAAATCCTGTCAGAGAAGCGTGCCTAATAGGAACTTCTAAGTACACTTTTTGGTAGAAATATTTATGTACTAGACAAGATCCCCTGTGGACTTTTTTTATTTCTATGATCCCCTTTTTCCCCTCTCACTGTTTAATTATTCCCATTAGTAACAATGAGGTGGAGGTATCATGAAACCCAAAGAAAATGTTAATTATTTATTAATACCAAGTAGATTTCATAATTCATGGCTACTAGTTTTGGAAGTTAAAATAAGAGGTTAACCATATATCACGTCGAAGGATAAGAATTGCTTATTTTTTAGTAAGTTTTGTTGTTATGAAAGAGAAAAAATAATGGATAAGAAATTGTGCACTTTTTTGATTGGTATGATAGCTGTTAATTTTTTATGGTGTTTAAGTAAAATAACAGTGAATTATTTTTCTCTCTGTCTCAGTTCTCTCAGTATGATGGAAGACAGTCTTCAGCCAAATAAAGCAGTGTTGTACACGTGGGCTGAGCCAGTAGGCTCTAGGGTATTGAAATGGAAATGTGGAAGGGAGAAAGGAGAAGTATCTCAGAAGGAAGTAAGTGTATTGGCTAATAATAGAATTTTTACTAGTTTTACTTAGTAAACCATGGTTAGGTTGATCTAAATGCCCAACTGCAAGCATTCAGAAGGTTTAAAAATGGTGTGCCCAGTCTAACTTAGTTCACATCAGGATGTGAAATAACTTGGATGAGAGAGAATTAACCTGATCTAGTGAACACCTGCACATGTTTGCAGCACAGCTTCAGTGCTGGCAAAGACCAGCTGCTTGCCCTATACCTGGGGCTGTGGTATTCATGCCTCCTTCTCCCCCGTCCAACCTTGACTGAGCTATTTTTAGTCTCTAAACGCTTCTCCCTCTGCCCCCAACAGACCCGCCAGCCCAAGTTATGTACCTCAGGCTGCCCTTGCTGTTCCCAGCAGTGGCGAAAGGTTGCACACGCTCCTGGTCTAGGTTTAGGCTGCTTAAGGTAAACCATCTAAACGTAGACTGGGTGTGACAAATGCTTGTTTGCATCCCATGTGAGGCATTAATATTGAATAAAAGGACTTATTCACTTCAGTAGACTTAAAATCAGGTTCTTTCTGTTGAGCTTTCATGATGCATCTAAACAAGTTGTATGAAAAATTGTGTTACTTAAATATTATTTTATCTTTTTAACTGAAACATTTCTGAGTATGTGATGGAATTAAATATATTTGTGCAATCTTAACTCCTCCTTTTGGTTGCTTCCAATGTACATATGTTCTCCTAACCAGAAGTGTAGCTAGCTATTTCAACTCCCTGGGCGAAGTGGTGTGGGCATTGTGGAGGGCTGGGAAGGGTTTCATCAACCACAGCTCAGGCTCACCACACTGCAGCTGACGCTATGATGCTACAGGCTCAGGCTGCTGCAGGACACGTTCCCTGCACACTGGCTACAACGGCTTCCACAGCTTGCATTCCTGGGGCCACCATTTTGGCCATCCCTTTGAATTAGTATCTGGGGCTAGTGATCCATTCTCCTACCCCAAATTACACTACTGCTTCTAACATGCATGGTATTTCATACAATTTTATTTCTTTATTTTTAAAAGAAATCCTGTAAATGTTCTATTAGATACTACTGGTTTTCTTCAGAATCACTTTTTCATTGAGTGTAGTATATATAATTCTCAATGGCTTTGTCCACCTTGAATTCTGTTGAACTTTTCCAAAGAGTAGATTAGGTGAGAGTTATTGATGATTTATGCATGACTGACTAAGGAAACAAGAGGTAGAGACAGCACAAAATAATCAAGTGACAGTATTTTTTGAAAGCATACCATGATGTTGAAGACATAAGAACCAAATAAACTAGTTAATGTCATTGCCCTAATGAATGAGTACTGTGGCAGGTGTTCATCCATGTTACCATTTTCCTTTATTCACGTGTGTAAATACTGCAAGATTTATGATACTTAGCAATAGCATTAGTAGAAATATTTGCAAATACTATTAGAATTCTCTCTTTAAGAATAGTAAACCTAGCTGTAGAATTACCAATATCAGTTTATTTTGCGTGTAAAGCCTAGTCTTTTGTAGAATTATCCTTTAAACTGCTGGAACTATTGTCTGTTATAGTTTGTTTAATGATCAACATGTGCACAACATAGTTCCCAAACGAGAATTAATATTAAGCTTTTATATGCACTTGGTATTTCAGTAAGCAGTTCCATTCTCTTTATAAATTCTTGCATGATTTGGATAAAATGAGCTCTGGAAACCAAAATGTTACCCTATTTTGATTTTCAGATCAGATAATGGTTCGCTCATAAAATTATTTTCTTTCCCAACCTCGTAGCTACCTATCATAGCTTTTTTCTTGTCCATACTTCCATAATATTTGTATCTGTTTGTCAAAATTTGTAACTCCTATTTATTCTACTTTTGTGTGTGTTTTCTTTTCTACCCTGTAGGACAAGATGACACCTTTTATTATGGATGATAAAAGGATAATTTATTTAGTCTCATTTTTTGAAGGCTTACAACGTATTATCCTATTCACTGAAGATGAGAATGTGTTCAGACTAACATATGAAAGTGTAAAAGCAGAACTGGCAGAACAGGAAATTGTTATATCATTGCAAGATATTGGAATTTCTTTGGTCAATAATTATGCAAAGCAAGAAGTGTCTTACATTGGAATTACAAGGTAAACTAATCTACTCGGTGGAAATTTGTTTTATTTCTAAATTTAAACTAGGTTCGCTTAAAATGCTTGTTGTTGGCTTGTGGTCTAGAGTTCTCAGTACTGAATTGCTGTGTTTCCAGGTTGTAAAGGGAAGTCCATTTCTATTGAGTTTTATGCTTCACTTTTGTATTTGCATAGGTATACATGTGCAGTATATAGAACATGATTTTCTATTGCATATCTTCCATGCTCGTTTCTCACTTATAGGTAAATAGTGGAATTCAGAGGTGGTCCATGGCTAGAGATTAGGGCTATGGACAGAAATGATATTTGTGTATTTGTGCTGAGAGAGATGTCGTTTCATGGTGTTATTCTCTGAAGAAAACTAGCTTGTCCACAGAGAAAGCACTTCCACCTAGAAAGTTTTCTCTCCTAAGAAGTTTTCTAGCTCTAGCTTGAGAAGCTATATACTTCTCTCCAATGTCTAAAGGACCCACAGTATCTTACAGTCCTCTGCTCTCTCTGCCCTCTTCCAACCTCATTGGTTGGTTCCATTCCCCATGGCTCAGCCCACCATGACCCCAGTCTTTGCTAAGAGCAGGGGTATTTCCCCATAGCTCATTCTATCCCAGGTGTGCCTGGTCTATGCAAGGGGCTAGGGAA